TAGATCTAATTTTGTTCCTCCATTGTTAATAGGCTTGTCATAAATGTCATTTAATTCAAATATATCTCTATATTTATTCCTTTTAGGTAGTTGTCTATTTTTTACTTTGTCATAGAATTGTGTATATGGTTTATTATATATATGTGCGTAACTTTCATCTGGATCTAATTTTTTAAGTTGGTTAGAGGTTTCTGATGGAGTATGTCCTCCTCTAGTATTTATTAGGACTTGGTATTCACTTACATTTTCTAAACTAAGTTGGTCAAAATTTTCTATTAATAAATCTAATTTCTCATTTATCTTTATTGTCTTTTTCTTCTTCAATTTTCAATTTTCCTAGTAATTTTTTGAAAGTTTCCTATTCTTCTAATATTTTGGGTAAAATATTCTTTTTAAATTCATCATCCATACTTCCTGCTTCTATTACCAAATTTTCTTGTTCTATACGTTTCTTCCCAATTCTCGACATTTCTTTTTCTATAAATTTTTTATCTATTTTCTTACCTTTATTTTTATTGTTTTCCTTTAATTCTCTAATTTCAACTTTTAATATATTTATATCATTTCTTACTTCTTTTATTTCATTTCTTGAATCTTGGACATCAGTTATTAATATTTTTACCAATTATTTAAGTTCATTCATATGTTCATTCATTTCTTTATTAAGAATGTTTGTTAATATTCATGTTTTATTTTTTATTGGTAAAATAAAATAATCTACATTCATTATCTTTTGATTCTTTTATTATTTTATCAAATCTGGACTTAGCAAGTATTTGGAAGTTCTTTTATATTCTTAAAGTATTTTGCTTTTATTTTAGATTTTTCTTGTCTTAATTTTAATATTTGTTTTTCCTAATTATTTGTTAATTTTTTCTCTTCTAGTATTAACAATATATTATCTATTTGTTGATGTAATTTATATATAGATCATTTTCAAGTTTTCTTTCAGTTTTTTCCATTTCTCTCTTTATAATATGGTAGCAAGTATTTATTTAATAAGGGCCAATTTTTATGATGATCCATAATTTTCTTTACAGTATAACATATTTTATTCTTTTTCAAGTTTTGTAAATATTTTTTCGTATATATATTCATCTCTTATTGATCCTATTATGAGTTTTTCTATAATTTCTTCTTTTATTTCTCTAGGTAATTCTTTGATTATAATTAATGTTATCATTTTTAATCTTTTAGGAATATTCTCTAAAAATATATAACATCCTTGTTCTTCTTCTAATTTATAATACTAGACTTTTTTTGTGATTATAATTTTCATGATCTCTATGGCTTTGATACCAATTTTGGGGGTGTTACTTTAAGCGAACAAAAATCAAAATAAATCTTTATTTAGTTTTATTTAGATATAGTTAATTTATTAAATATTATTTAAACAATTTTAAAATCTTTAATCATTCTTAGTATTTTCTAAATATTTTATTATATATTCCTTTGTTATTTTATGATTTATTAGAAGGATATAAAATCTAATAGTTAATCTATATCTTAATTTTTTATATGCATTACACATCTTATGGAATTCAGGTTTCCTCATTTATAATTAGATTAATATGTTTACAGAAATCAAATCAAATTAAAGTTCATTTTCTCTTATAATTTCTTCAAAATCTATAAAAGTTTTAGCAGTTTATAATATCCAAATCTATATTTATATCATCATCTAATTGTGTAAGTGTCTTATGATTTATTATCATTCTCATTTTTCTTTTTTCGATTTTATCTATAAGATCTTGAATATCATCCATTATTAAGGTTCTGACTGGTCCTTTTATAAAATTTTCAGATATATTATTCTTAAAACATTTTAAAGTTTCTTGTGATGCATATAATTGATTTGTATATTCTCTTTTGGTTATATTTTCATTGAATTCTTTTTTGTCTTATCTTTCCTTTTTTCCTTCATAAACTTCTTAGTTTTATAAGGTCCTCTTGGGCCTCTAGGTTTTTTCATTGTATGTTGATTCACTATCGGGAAAAAAATTAAATATTTTAAATATTTTAAGGACTTAAAGAAAATATATTCATATTATGGTGACTAAGTTGTAAATTCTATGTTCGGGGTATTTTAGGTAGTTCCAAATGTTTAGAATAGTCAAAGGCTATTTTGGAAATATTGCCTTTTATTTAGTCTATTTGCATGTATTTCCCTCAAGAAAATTAGACATCAGAAGTGAATTAGATCTACATTGTAAAGACCTATTTATAGCGCACACACCAACCACTGATCTCAAATGACAATCAACGGCTCAATTTGCCTTTGTTTGAAATCCATTTTTTTCTCATTATCTTTCTCATTTTTTTCTCTTTCTTCATTTCAACCACACATTCTATCGATAAAATAATATTACACATAAACCAAAAAATTCTCATTACTTTTCAACCACATATTCTTCTATCAATTACTATTCCAAATCAAATTATTCTCCAAAATGGGTGTCAAACACATGCAACTAAGGCCCCATTTGTCTCCCATTATTTCAAAACATTATTTGTTATAGTAAAATTCTTCATCACACATTCACTCAATAAAATATTTTACACACAAATCAATAAAATTATTTTAAATTTCAACTACACATTCTCCAAAAAATAGTATTCATTACTCCATTTCTTTTACAATAATGGGAGACAAACACACTAAAGTTGCACTAGCAAAATGCATTTTTTTCTCTATAGGTTTGGGTCTTGGGCCATGGTTTTGGTTATCAAACAATAGGTTATTAAAAGGGAGGATTACATCATTAATAGGTTAAGTTTTTTCAATTTCAAATTTAAGATATCAATGCTTAAAATTTCAAATCTTAGACTTTTTAAATTTTATTTATAAATTAATTAATCAAACATATACTTTATTAATTAAATATATTAAGGTCATAATTCAATATAATTTGGTCACAAATTCCATATAATTGGTCATATATTATTAATTGATCACAAATCACAATTTTTATATGTCACAAATTATTTTACAGTCACAATTCAAAATTGTTGTAGGTCACAATTTGTTCATCAATCACAAATCAAAAATTCATACGTCACAATTTATTCATCGGGTCATAAATTTATCAAATTAATAAGTCACATATTATTTATTTGTCACAAATCACAAATTTTATATGGCACAAATTATTTTACGATCACAATTCAAAAGTTTTATATGTCACAATTTGTTCATCGATCACAAATAAAAAAATTTTATGTTACAATTTATTTATCGATCACAAATCATAAGTATTATAAAGCACAATTTATTAGACAGACACAAATTATCAAATTATTGGTCACATATTAACATTTTTTTAGGTCACACATTATTTATTGGTCACAAATTATAGAAATTTACGGTCACATTTTAATAGTGAGTCACAGTGAACTAAATAATTGGTCACATACACCAAAATACCCCATCCCAATCCCGATCCACCACTAATACTTAGTCACAAATCAACCAAATATTCCCCGTCGCCACCGCCGCCGAAGCCACCACCACTATATCCAATAACACTCATAGCAAAAATCATCACAATCACCCATGCCATCGTCGTAACCAACCGTCGCCGCCGCCTCCATTTTAGCATCACCACCATCACACCACCATACCAACTGCGAAACACCACTACAAATACCACCAACTGCAAAATACC